CTTTGATATCGAAGTACCTGAAGAGATGCCGTTATCTATATTTAAGACCAAATTAGTAAGAATACTATCTAATATTCTTAATAGCACATCAAAGTTTGGAATCGAGACTATTAGCACTTACCCACTTCAAGGATACTATGCAGAAAAGAAACCATATATCTATGTGAGAACATGAAACCACTATGACCAGTATAATGCATTAAAGGCAGTCTGTGCTATTAGAATGTGTATAGCCTCAGATGATTTAAACTGCCAGTATTATTACCGTAAAGTAGTCTGTGAAGAAAGATTACCTCTTTCGAGTTAGGCAGTATTAAGTAATTATTTATATGAACACATTCAGAAGGTACTTATTTCTTCTAAGTATCTGTGAATAATTACAATCCAATAAGTGAAGACGATTATAATAATCAATTATTTTCCTCAGCACTTTCACAGGATCGCACCCTTGTTCTTACATGAGATATTGAAATATATAGCTCACGAAAAACGGGTGAGGTGCCTAATGCAAAATATGAAGAAGATGTTGTATTTATGATATGCATGACAGTTCATTAGAAAGATGATCCTAAACCGTTAAAACAAATCTGTCTTGTTGATATTGAAATAGCGCCAGACCTGCGATAGATTACAATTGTATATGGATCCCAAACCAATTTACTAAAAGCATTTACGTTGTGTTGAAAACTCTTAGCCCCAGATATACAAATAGGCTTTAATGATTCATAATACAACTGGAAATTTATTGTGGAGAAAGCTAATAAATCAGGGGTTCTCGAATGAATGTTCAATCATATGTTATTCAGTCATCGAGCCTGGAAAAAATTATAAAATAGGAATATTGATATAATATGATAAAAGTAAATGATGGAAAATTCCATTCGAAACATCTTAAAATCCCCGGCTGTGTGGCTATTGATGTCCGGCCCTGTTTTAAGGGATTTATTCTAAAGCTGAAAAAAGTAGTCTAGCATATGACTTAAGGGAGTGTAATCTTGACAACAAAGTAGATTTATTTATTTATTGTATGAACGGATCTTATGAAAGGACATTAAAAGAAACAAATGCCACAACGGTCGAGCAGATACGTGAAGTAGTCAAATACTGTATTATCGACGCTCTTAGTTATCAGTGGTTAATGGTCAAGCGCAATGTAATCAATAAATATAGGGAGCTGGTAACTGTAGCATTCTTATTATTATTCGATGCGTATTATTTTGCGGGTGGTATGAAAGTTTGTAATCTTTTAAGTGCTAATGCATAGCAAAGAGGGATCTTATCTAGTACAATCTCAAAAGAGGAGACTGCGATTGAAAAATATCCCAGAGCTTATGTCTTCCTACCAATAAATGGACTTGAAAATAAACATCCTGTAACCGGCTTAGACTTTGCGTCCTTGTATCTAAGCCTTATCATAACATACAACCTCTCGCCTGATAAAATAATTTTATCTCAAGAGTGTGCTGAACAAAGTGGTAAAAAACTTCACAAAATTAGTTTTAGATTCAATAATCAGGATATTCTCGCATGGTCTATCTAACATAATAACATTTCTGAAGAAAAAGGTCTTTATGCTAATGTATTAGAATATTTATATGGTAAACGGGTTGAGATAAAAAAACGTCTCACTTCTTTGAAAGATAAAAAGGAGGACATGGAACTGGTAATAGGTTTAATGGGTAAAGGTTTATCATTACCAGGAGTTATTGAGAAGGAGGTAGTAAATATAAAGGGAAAAAAACTTGCCAGCCTTAGCGAAAATTTATACCATTTTATTAATAAAGAAAAGCATGAATTCATGGCAGAATACGATTCAGTTTCTTTGAATATTCTTGCTTAGATGCAAAACAAAATGCCCTTAAGGTATATATGAATACATTTTATGGCACTGCTAGAGATAGTACATCTCCTTTCTTCTTGCGTGAACTTGCTGGAGGCGTCATATCAGCTGGACGGAGAAATATCAAACTTGTCGCAGATTTCATTAAAAGCAAGGGTTTCCAGATAAAATACGGGAATACAGATTCCTTATATCTTGTCTGTCCAGAAGAATGCTTTCAGGAATGTGATAAGGCATATGACTATGGCAATAGAATCCCAAAAGAAGAATATTGGTCTTGAATGGTAAAAATCTCTATGGAAGTAATGGAAAAACTTTGTGATGAAGTTAATATCTATCTTAGGAAAGATAATGAATTGACTTATCTTAAAATAGCATATGAGGAAGTCTGTTTTCCGGTAGCATTTACTGGAAAGAAAAAATACTATGACATTCCACATGAAAGTAAGCCTAACTTTAATAAAAAGCCTTTCATTTGGGGAGTTGAGATTGTAAAACGAGGGCAGTCAAGCCTTTTCCGCAAAACAGGAAAGCGCATTATTGATGAATCTATAAAGATGAATAATACACGTACGCTACAGCAAATTATAGAGGATGTGCTCAAGGAAACCGTAAATGATCTTTCTCAGATAGACCTCAATGAATTAGTTAAAACTAGTATGTGGAAGTCAGAGAAAGATAACAAATCTGTTTAGCGCTTCATTTCACGAATGCAAGACTGACATACTCGTGAAGAAGCAGACGCCAAACAGCTCATAAAAAAGGGTTTAACTCCTGACCCTTATATTTATCAAATCCTAGAACCGGGTGAATGCTTTGAATATGTTGTAGTTGAGCCAGATAATAGCTCATTGCAGAAGGTGAAAGATAAAATGAAGTACTCAGAGATAGCAAGGCGACTAGGTAAAAAGATCGATATTAACTACTATCTGCAAAGCATTGTCGTTCTATGCGCACGTTTTATAAATTATGATGAAAGATACCAACCATCTTCTGAATCTTTGTTGGAAGCCCTGAAAAAATCAAAAGATGGCAAGAATCCTGATAAAGTATCAAATATGAAAGATACCTTAGCGCAGAAATTGGCTGAAAACTGGGTTAAAGGGTATATTAAAGACCTACATGAAGGTCTGAAAAAAGATGAAGCTATCATATCCTATTTATAGAAAGAAGCTAGTACTTATGCAAAAAAATTATTTGATACCAATTATGCTGGTAAAGTAGTAAAATGCTCAGGTAATATTGGTTATTACACTTCCTCCCTCAATGCACTAGATAATCTAGAAGAATCCATCCGCTTAAAGCTTTCATCATTGCTCAAAGAAATTTCTAAGATCAATGTAGGATACAAAAAAGAAATGTATAAATTAGTTATTAAGAGCGCTAAATGGGAAAATAGGAACAAATCAAAAGCCATAACCATAGAACAATATTTATTATATTATTCGGATGAGTGCAAATTACTAGCTGATTTCCAAAACATATGGTACAAAGTGGTTGGCCTAGAAATCACACGCTATCGAACGTTATCAAAATTATAGGATGACAAAAAAGATGATTTGTCTGAAGCAGATATAGACGAGATCATCAAATTATATGGATAAGTACTCTTAGCGGGATATGGCAATTTCAACTAAGAATACTTAGCCGTTAAGGTGCTTCGCATAATAATATTTACATATTTTTTTTCGTGCAATAATACCGGCTAACTTCAATTTCTATCTTCGAACTTCTGATCTCTAATCATATAACCCGACCTCATATATGCCCGAAGGTGTAAATCGCTAGTCTGAATGTATCAGTCACTTTTTTCCCACATATTCCATATTTTTTTCCTGACCACAAGCCATATAATTGCAATCAATAGTAAGGTAAGTATGGAATATATTATCATCGGCAATATTAAGAAACTCACAATAATAGGAGTAGTAGCTGGTAAAGGTACCGCTTCTGCGTCACTTACAGAAATTGTTAGGTCAATAGTGAAAAGGGTCCCTTTAGGACTAAGTTACAATGAATTGTTCATAGATGGGAGTTAAAGATCTACCTCATCATGCGAAGTGCCTCTCGGCTCTTTCTTTAACGCTAACTGGTCCTGAGGGACCTATTTTCCTTTATTAATTTTAATCATTCTGAAGACTGAGTATCAATTTCTCATTTGAATATGTTATTTGACGACTCTATCCCCTTTTCCATACATTCTATTGTATATTCTTTTGAATTACAGTCCTCCTTCACTCATTCCAATTCAAGCCTGAGAGAATCGATCTCTTCAGGATCATCCATTACAGATGAGCTTATTTGGGCCAGCTCTTCTACTACCCCTTTCACTACATTCGAATCATGGAACACCGGATCCAGTTTCAAGTCCTCCAACTTACCTTTCAATTCAACTACCTTAGTTTCGAAAGAAAGAATCTTGACCTTGTCAGCGGACAAAGCTTTTTAGGTCAAAGTTGCCTCTCTTTTCAGAGTTTTAATATTTGATTTAAGCGATTTGATTTCGGCAGTATATTTGGCTTCAAGTTTACGTTGACTCTCAGAATGAGACTTCCGTTCAAAAATAAGTTGGGATCTAAGTTTAATAATGGATGTATTTAACTGGCTAGCTTTATTTTTCATATCGACATAGGTTTGCTGAAACTCCTTTTCTCGTTCTGAATACTGAACTAGCAACTTTTCGCTAAGATCATTAATTTTAGCTTTAGATTTAAGAGCGGAATATAATTTTTCTTTAAGTTCTTGCTCATATATACCACCAAGTCATTGATCAACTCCCTTGAAGGAGCTATCGCCTTTATTATTAATATCATTAAACCTATATAGGTTCGTCATAGCCTTTTTTTTCGGCTTAGTTGCTAGTATATTAAAAAATATGTGACTAAAAATTTTTTATAGGATAACTGGATTCTTTAATGCATATAGCACTGATACTCCTGATACTCCTAATACTTCTGATACTCCATGTAGTATTAATTTTTTATGCGCATTTTTACTAATATCACAAATAGTCTCCATACCATGCATAGAATTAATCCTTCTGATACTCTGCATAATACTAGTCCTCTGCATAGTTTTGATAGTCTACATAGATCACATAGTATTAATATTTTGCATATACATTTTTTATAAATAGTATAAAATCTGATTGACTACCAATATGATCAACCTCTCACCTAGAAGGTATATGCGCTCTGATGCCACAAAATTATCATCTACAGATTACGAAGATATCATGCAATACCAGGATATGAAGTCCAAGCCCCTGGAATAATTAAGAAAGAAATTTTATATATCAACTTCTCGTTTATATCAGATTTGGAGAGGGCAGGAGGTAGGAAGGGTCAAATAGAACTATTCGGCAGTCCCACTTTCTTATTCGAATAAAATAATATAGATAGGCAAGACATATCTGAGACCCCAGTAGAGTGTATCACTATTGCTAAAAGTGAGGTAAAAAAGACTGGAGGAAAAAAAACTAAGTCTAAATCCGTTCATATCTCTGGATCACCTGTTATTCAGATACCACTAGCTTCAAAGAGTTTAAATATAAACAATGAGAAATTAGGAGCATTTTATGAGAAAGAAGATAAGAGAAATAGAAAAATCACGGAAGAAATGAATAGGATACTAGCCACGTAAAAGATGTTTTTCATTTAGTTCGATATAGCGTGATAACAACTCCTTACATAGTTCGTTGAGATTTTCTTTAGACTTAAAAATGCTATATAGCATTTTTTCGAGCTCCTCATAACTCACTTTTTTTTAATGCATCATTATTCTCACTTGCCGTTAAGGTGCTTTACAAGTCCTGTGGGTCTTGAGAAATGCAATCCGGAGCTGGCAGATCATCGTTAGCTATGCTAACCGCGCAATTCACCTCAAGTTTATTCTTGACCTTATGCATAGTAACTGGGATGATATAATCTTTTCCATTAAGAGGGATTTTTAGCTCGTTGGTATCCCAATCTATTGCGCATTTGTATTTCTTTAAAAGCTGATTAGAAAATATTAGCGTAGGTTTGTGATATCTCACAACAACAAAATCTTCATAAATGGTGCATCCTGGGGCTAAAGTAATAGGCAAATTACGAACAACCCCAACAGATTCAATCGGAACTGTAGCAATACCACTG